CGTGTTCCTTATACAGAAACTTAGGGCTTCCCTGGTGGCCTAGTGGTAAAGAATCCTCCTGCCAATGCAGAAGATGAGGGCTAGATCCCTGGGTTGGGAAGATCCCCTGGAGGTGAGCATGGTAACCCAGTTCATTATTCTTGCCTGGGAAAATCCATGGACAGAGGAGCCTGGTGGGCCACAGTCCATGGGGTCTCAAAAGAGTTGGACATGACTCAGCAACTAAACAACAGCAGAAACTTACGTTTCTGTAAGTTTAAAATTTTATCTAGGACTTCCCTGGTGGTGCAGTGGATAGGAATCCATCTGCCAATGCAGGGGACGTGGGTTTAATCCCTGGTCTGGGAAGATTCCACATGCTGAGGAGCAACTAAGCCCATGCATCACGACTACTGAAGCCTTCGCTCTAGGGCGTGGGAGCCACAGCAAGAGAAGCCATCCCAATGAGAAGCCTTCAAACCTCATCAAAGAGGAGCCCCGCCTTGCTGCAACTAGACAAAGCCCGAGGTGAGCAACAACAATCCAGCGCAACCAAAAATAATTTATTAATTAAAAAATAAAAAATTTGGAGAGCTTCCCTCAGTGTCTCAGTGGTAAAGAATCTGCCTGCACTGTGGAGATGTGGGGTCAATCCCTGGGTCGGGACGATTCCCTGGAGGTGAGCATGGCAGCCCACTCCAGTATTTTTGCCTGAAAAATAAGATAGACAGAGGAACCTGGAGGGCTACAGTCCATAGGGTCACAAAGAGTCAGACATGACTGAAGTGACTGAGCATGCAGGCATGCTCACAAGCTCTTACATATCTGTAAGATATAAACAAAAAAATAAAAAATTTTTTATCTGGATAAAATTTATTTTAAACCATGAAATAATTGAAGGAGTTTTGCTTCTATAAGGATTTGAGGGTAAAAGAGAACAGGCAAGTTAAAATGTTAAAGCTATCCTGACTATCTACTTTGGGGATAGCTAACAAACCACTTTCCTTTGGATATTAAGGACTTCAGGCAGAACCTGCATGAAATTAACACAGGTCCAAAGGAGTTTAGCAAGACTCAAACAGGAAATGCCAAGAACCATTTTCCAACCTTGGGGCTAGTGGCAAAAGATACACTCCCTCCCTCACCCCTCAAAGTCTCTCTAGTGACTACTTTAACGCATGCTTCGAAAGTAGTTTTAGAAAACTAGTGTAAATGTCCTAGAAAGTTAGCAAAATAGTTTCTTATGCCATTCTTTATTAAATATTTAATACAAATTAGCTTTCACTGTGTTAAACCCCCTGTGAGTTGTTGGTCTTCAAATATCTGAGTAGGCAACATGCTTTGAGTACTTGCTAAGTGTCAGGGGCATCAGAAAAATAAAGAAACTGCACAGCACAGACATAAAATACTTGTCCGGGTCAAACGTTAAGAAAGTCATAGAACATGGAATTGAGCTAAGGTATCTTTCTCAAGATATGCAGATGACACCAGCCTTATGGCAGAAAGTTAAGAGGAACTAAAAAGCCTCTTGATAAAAGTGAAAGAGGAGAGTGAAAACGTTGGCTTAAAGCTCAACATTCAGAAAACTAAGATCATGGCATCTGGTCCCATCACTTCATGGGAAATAGATGGGGAGACAGTGGAAACAGTGTCAGACTTTTTTGGGGGGGCTCCAAAATCACTGCAGATGGTGACTGCAGCTATGAAATTAAAAGACGCTTACTCCTTGGAAGAATAGTTACGACCAACCTAGATAGCATATTAAAAAGCAGAGACATTACTTTGCCAACAAAGGTCCGTCTGGTCAAGGCTATGGTTTTTTCAGTGGTCATGTATGGANTTGAGGCATGTGGGATCTTTAGTTGAGGTAGGCAAATTCTTAATTTTTGAGTAAGGGTTAATGACTAATACTTTTGCCACCTGATGCAAAGAACAGACTCATTGGAAAAGACCCTGACCCTGGGAAAGATTGAAGACAGGAGAAGAAGCGGGTGACAGAGGATGAGATGGTTGGATGGCATCATTGACTCAATGGACATGAGTTTGAGCAAACTCTGGGAGTTGGTGATAGACAGGGAAGCCTGGCATGCAGCAGTCCATGGGGTCTCAAAGAGTCAGACATAACTGAGTGACTGAACAACTGTAAGGTTAAGGAAATTGAAGCTCAGCACAGATTACAGGGTTTTTTAAAGTTAACTCAGCTATCAAACTGTAGAACCAGACCCATAACCCACTTTTCAGACTCTAATTTTAGTTCTCTTCATAAAACTTCAGTATCTCAAGTTAACAGTTAAGAATCTTAAGAATGAAAATTAAAATCTTAAAGAGATATTTTCATGCACTACTCATGTTTCCAGTGAAGTCCAAAACTATGCACATTGCATTTTCAATGAAGTCCAAAACTATGCACATCTCTAAATTGTGTCTCAAAAATTGCAAGATGAAAAGCACACAAAAATTTGTGTCCAAAACATTTTCACAAGTCACTGTTTATAATAATGCAAAGTTGAAAACAGGCTAAGTTTAACACATTTATCCAATAAATTTTGGTACAAATAAGGATGTGTTGGGTACAAATGATAATTTTATTAAACAATTTCTCAGGGTCAACTGCTGTTAAAGGGTTACAAATGTATCAAAGCATTCAGAGAGGTAAGTACTATTATTACTTGTTTTTGTTTGTTTTTTGGCTGCACTGCCTGACATGAGGGATTTTACTTCCCTGGCCAAGGATCGAACCTGCACCTCCTACATGGGAAGCAGGAGTCAGAACCACCGAACACCCAGGGAAGTCCCTGTAAGCACTATTCCTTTCTCCACTTAACAACTGAGGAAACTGGGGAACAAAGAAGTTAACTCCATTGCACGATGTCAAAGTTTGAATAGGAGAGCCAGGAATTGAACTGACATGTCTTTCTCAAGAGTCCATGTCCTTCCTATTCACCAATCTGCTTTTGTGACAGTATGGTCCCTGGAGCCACCCCATATTTCATTGCATGGTAGCGCAGATAGCAGAATATTGTATAGCCATGAAAAAAAAATCATGCTTTCAATAAGTATTAAGTTATATGAGGGCATGCTGACATTAAAACATTAAGGGAAATCAACTATACTTCATTTAAAAAAAAAACCTAATATGTAGAAGAAAAAAAATTAAGGGAAAAAAGTCAGCATGCAAAATTGCACACTTTTATTTCAGTCCTAGAATGTGTGTGTGTGTAAAACTAAAATCTAAATCAAAATAGTACCTTTTTTCAGATGATGGCTTATGGGTAATTTTGTTTCCTCCTTTATACTTGTTGGGTAGAAAATTAGGCATGAGCAACAAGGGGTGGCCTAGCTGTAAAGGACGCAAGCTAATCTCTAATCCCCATCCCAGACACACCCAGGAGAGCTCACAGATATGCTACAAAAATAACCACAGAGAGTTTTCCAGTTTCTGCATATGCATTCTAGGCACTCGGTGGATACAAACTAAACACAGGGACCTCTCCAGCTCTGGCACAAGAGCCCTTGATGTTCAGCTGTTTCCTCAAGTAACCTTAGGGAGATAGGAGCCCATTAAGGGTTCATAAATATTCTACATATATGTACCTCTGATTATAACAGATTGAACTATGAGAAAGCATATAGGAGCCTGTTGCTATATAACTTGCAGTTGTCAGTCAGCCTTGAGCACATGCCCATTTGCATCCCCTTTCGTGATTGGTGGTGGGTACAAGCCATATTTTGCACAGGGCACAGCCAAAGGGAGAAGATGAGAAGTATAAAAAGGGGGATGCCAAGAGGGATTATTACCATGGCGCCTTTGGGGTTAACCTTGTCCTATGTCTTGGGAATGCCTGTTTAATAAAAGATTTGTCTTCTTGGGCTGTAACTGAGCTATAACTTGTCTGTTGTTTTAAACCGCTTAGTTTGTTGTTCCAAACTTTTGATGTGTTGAGACAAGAACTGAGAGAGAAATAAACCAACCTGACATACTTTTCTAGGTACTCTGAACTTTGGTGATGACGCATAACTGCTGTGATATTATCAGAAGTTTCAACTTAAAAATATTTTAAGTTGCTGAAAAAAAAATCAGAATTTCCAAGAACAAGATCTCATTTCCTTTTACAGTTAAATATGAATCAGAAAGTGTAAGTTTGGGAAAGAATCACATGAAAAACAATTACCCCAAAGACTGAGAACAAGGGAAGGGTGTTCAGACTAGAAAAGGAAGTGACTAAAAGAGAAAGTTTCATAGGACACTTGTGCTGAATGCACTTAGCACCCTGCAACCTCTTCTTGATCCATGTTATTGAATACTGTCAGCTCCTTTTCTAAGAGTAGTCATTTGGATTCACTACAGACTGAAATAGCGTGGATTGAGAATATGATGCCTTTAGGAGAGAAAAACATAGACGATCTGTGACCCCCAACAGGTATAACTTCTAGAGTGGCCAATTTTAAGTGTGCGGTGGAAAAGCAGCAAAGAGAAGCCTAGTTTTTTTGCACTTTGCAGATATTGTGTTTTTTAAACTTTTTATTTTGTATTGGGGTATAGCCACTTAACCATGTTGTGATAGTTTCACGTGAACAACAAAGGGACTCAATCATACACATACATGGATCCATTCTCCCCCAAATTCCCCTCCCATCCAGGCTGCCATTAACATTGAGCAGAGTTCCCTATGTTATACAGTAGGTTCTTGTTGGTTATCCATTTTAAATGTAGCTGTGTGGACATGTCCATCCCAAACCCCCTAGCTCCCCCCCATCCCCCACTCCTGGCAACCGTAAGTTTGTTCTCTTAAGTTTGTGAGTCAAAGACAGGCTTTGTTTTGACAATATCCCTACTGTTCTTCTTCATGGCAGCCCCTCCTGGGTGGGGTCTATCAGCAGTGCCAAATGAACCCAACACAGACCCACCTTTTGGTGGCATGCTCCCAAGGACCTTCACCAGCCAATCGTATCACTCACAATGAGAGGTTGCAGCTCTAGATAATACTGTTTGACCCCAAACATCATACGGGGCATGCCTTGTCCTGCTTTGCTAAGGAAGTTTAAGGTTGAGCTGGTGAACCTGACCCTGAATAAGCCTTTGGAATTTCCCCACATACAAACAAGACCAGGATTTTTTTTTAAATTGGGCACTAACTTGATTTCACTTTAGAATCCCTTATTTGGTGCGCAAGTCTGGCTGTTCAACAGCGGTTCCAGCTTTACGAGTGAGTTGAATTCTTCCCTCGGGAAAACTGCTAGTTGGTGGTGGTCAACAGAAGTCTCGAGATACACGTGGGAGAGGAGAGTTCTTGCTGAGACTTACTGCAAGAGAAAAACCTCAAAGGAGCATCCTGAAAGCTGATTTCAGAATGGAGCTGCGAGGGCAAAGAAGCACTCTGCACACAAACAAATGCTGTCTCTTGACCAATCGTTGCAGAAGGATTCTTCTAGCAAATACTGCAGCCCCTGCGGTGAGAATCTGGCTGGTGAGGGGACAGCTTCTTCTCCTGCTGCTGTGCTCTGCTCTGCAGAGACCCACGGTGAGTTATGGTGGAGGAGGTGATCTCTTTGTGATCAGGGCTCCGTTGGAGCATCCTCCTGGTGATAACCTTTAAATGACCTTTAGTTCCTTGGGATAGGGGCTTCCTAGTAGCTCAGATGGTAAAGAATCTGCCTGCAAGGCAGGAGACCCAGGGATCAAACCTGGGTCAGGAAGATCCCCTGGAGAAGGGAATGGCAACCCACTCCAGTATTCTTGCTAGAGAATCGCATGGATAGAGGAGCTTGGCAGGCTACGGTCCATGGGTTCACAAACAGTTGGACATGACTAAAGCAACTTAGCATACACACATGCAAGCTAGAGACACAGCATTATTTTTTGTTTTGGATTTTTTGGTGGTCTTTTTTGGCTGTGTCAGGTGGCATGCAAGATCTTAGTTCCCTGACCAGGGTTCGAACCTGTGCCCCCTGCAGTGGAAATGTGGAGTCTTAAGCGCTGAACCACCAGGGAAGTCTCAGCATTAATTTTTTACTCTCAATAAAATTTGCATAAAAGACTGCATCTGTAGGACAAATAATGCAAAATAATCCAAGTCTTTCTGGCTTTGGCTTCCCTGGTGTCTCAGACAGTAAAGAATCCCGCCAGCAATGCGGAGACCTGGGTTCGATCCCTAGGTTGGGAAGATCCCCTGGAGAAGGGAATGGCAACCCACTCCAGTATTCTTGCCTGGAGAATCCACAAGGACNCAGAGGGTGAGATGGCTGGATGGCATCACCGACTCGATGGGCATAGGTTTGAGTAAACTCCGGGAGTTGGTGATGGACAGGGAGGCCTGGCTTGCTGCGATTCATGGGGTTGCAAAGAGTCAGACATGACTGAGTGACTGAACTGAACTGAACTGAACTGAATAGATTAAAGTTTTGGAGTGTATGAGGTTTGACAGCAGGTATTTTTATTTTGTTTTTGGCTTAGATATATTCTGTAGAACTATTTGTTAATCTGCTGTCAAGAGTCATTGGTTAAAATCATTTAAGCAGTCTTAAAATTTTGTTTCAATTTACACAAACTAGTTGACCTCTTGCCATAAATAGCATAGCAAAAATACCCAATGGTATGTTTCTGAGTTTCAGCTGCTGCACTGTTGACACTCACTGGATGGAATTTCATCTCTTAATTTGTTCCTTAATAAGTTCTGTTTATTAAGAAAGCACCATTTCTTTGCCAAGAGGGAAACATTTTAGAATTCAGATAACTGAAAAATATGGCTTTCAGTTATGGGTGGATGATACTTAATGAACTTGTCTTCAAATCTCTAACTTCTATTTATTTATTTTGAAGGTGAAAAAGTGTTAGTAGTCGATCAGTCACATCCAAGTCTCTGTGACCTCATGGACTATAGCCCACCAGGCTCCTTTGCCCATGAAATTTTCCAGGCAAGAATACTGGAGTTGGGCTGCCATTTCCTTTTCCACAGGATCTTCCTGATCCAGGGGTTGAACCTGGGTCTCCCCAGGTTCAGACTCTTTACTATCTGAGCCACCAGGGAAGCCCATGTACCACTAACTTTATTGTGGTAAGCTTAATATGCACTAGATATCAATAAGTAATATTCTATTGGCTCCCTATGGGAGAGTGTCTTTCTCCCACTCCTGGTTTCTATTTATAAGAGGAGGGACTTTCCCAGGAACCCTACTGACCTCTGGCCAGCTCTTTCCTCATGCTGCTTCCCTGGAAGTGGGCAGATTTACTCAACTGGCAGAGTCATGAAGAATAACTGGCTATACTGCATTTGACTCTGCTCCTCTTCCTCCTGGGAGACAGCCCCACAGCAAAAGGCATGAGTTATGTGTTCCTCCATGACAAGAATCCCACCTGGACAGGCTGCAATCCAATATCGCCTGCAGCTAAGGGGGCAAGTCAACCCATTCTGGGGTTTACCCTTAACAAGCCCACCAGCCATCAGACCTAAAGATGGGTATTCCAACAGGTTATCATCCAATAGCAAAAATTGTATGTTAGCCTTCATATTTCAAGTCCTGGGCAGAGGAGAGGGTTGTCATAGCCCCGTTAGAGAACTCAACAATACCCATCACTGAAGTCATTTTTTGTTATTTTGGCTTGGTTTGGTTTTGCTTTTGTTTTGGCCGCAATGAATGGCATGAGGGATCTTTGTTCCATGACCAGGGATCCAAACTGTGCTTCCTGCAATGAAGATGCAGAGTCTTAACTACTGGAACACCAGGGAAGTCCCAAAGACTTCTAATACAATCTTTAAGTGTTCGTAAAAGAAATATTCCCTATAACATCAATGTGAGAATGTGAAGGGGTCAGGAGAAGAAACAGAAAGTATAATTAAACTTTAAGATAATTATTTTTTCTTCAAAATACTCAATGTACCAAAAGACTTTGCAGTGATACAGAAGAGTCACTTTCTCCGTGGGGGATGAGGATGTTTGTATTTTTAGTAATATTTGTCAAACTAAATTCAATATCTAACATGGGTCACAGACACAGGAAGGACTGGAGCCGTGTAATGACTATGAGTGAAACTTATTTCAGCAGATACCGATTTTGAGGAGACGACTTGGTCTTAAAGAGTATAGCAAATAAAGCAAATCAGCTACTACACTGCAAAAATTAAAAACAAAAAAACCCCAGAAAACTCAATTAAATAAGAGTCAGAAGACCAGAAGGGGGAGCTCTTACTCCCGGGATGTGTGTGTGTTTGTGTGTGTGTTTGTGCGCTTAGTCGCTTAGTTATGTCCAATTCTTTGAGACCCTTTAGACTGTAGCCCACCAGGCACTTCCATCTTTGGGATTTCCCAGGCATGAATACAGGAGTGGGTTGCCATTTCTTTTCCAGGGTATCTTCCCAGGGATCAAACCGGCATCTTTATTGTCTCCTGCATTGCAGATGGATTCTTTTGGGGAAGCCCTGCTCCCAGGATAGCAGAGCCCAACAGGAAGAAGAGAAGCACCTCTTCTTTCCTGGCAAAGTGAGTGTGAAAGTCATTCAGTTGTGTCTGACTCTTTGTGACCCCATAGACTATACAGTCATGGAATTCTCCAGGCCAGAATACTGGAGTAGGTAGACTTTCCTTTCTTCAGGGGATCTTCCCAACCCAGGGATCGAACCCAGGTCTCCACATTGCAGGAGGATTCTTTACCAGCTAAGCCACAAGGGAAGCCCAAGAATACTGGAGTGGGGTAGCCTATCCTTTCTCCAGGGGATCTTCCCAACCCAGGAATCGAACCAGGGTCTCCTGCATTGCAGGTGGATTCTTTAGCAACTGAGCTATCAGGGAAGCCCCTTTCCTGGCAAGGACTGGGCCAATGAAAAGCCATGAACTCTGTTTACTGTATCCTCCCATCTTCCGTTTCTCCTCTAGGAGAGTGTTTTTTTCCCCTCACCCTGTGAGGACCTGTACATGGTGTGCCATGGTTACAAACCCTGAATTGCTGATCCTGAATAAACCTATCTTTACTAATGAATTACCTGGCAGTCTATTTATTTCAGGTTAACAAGATTCACCATCTGATTTGAAAAATTATAATCAAGAGTCTTCTTTCCTTATTGTTGTTCAGTCGCTCGATCTTGTCCAGTTTTAACTGTTGCTTCTTAATCTGCACACAGGTTTCTCAGGAGGCAGATAAGGTGGTCTGGTATTCCCATCTCTTTAAGAATTTTCCAGTTTGTTGTGATCCACACAGTCAAAGGCTTTAGCACAGTCAGTGAAGCAGAAGTAGATGTTTTTCTGGAATTCTCTTGCTTTTCCATCATCCAGCAGATGTTGGCAATTTGACCTCTGATTCCTCTGCCTTTGCTAGATTCAGTTTGTACATCTGGAAGTTCTTGATTCATGTATTGTTGAAACCTAGCCTGAAAGATTTTGAGAATTACCTTGCTAGCATGTGAAATTCTTTCCTTATAGATTGCAGTTAAAATCGACTTCGACTTGGCACCAAATTCCTTTGATGATCAGTACCGGGGCTGCAGCCAACAAGTCATGGAGATGCTGCTTCAAGGGGATTATTTCACCGAAGAACTAGATTCCAATAAGGATTACCGCAAGGTCTGGAAACAAACACACTTTAACTGGTTGAACCAAGAAAAACCTCTCCCCGGGAACATGACTACTACACATGCTGTGGCTGTCTTGGTTTATTTATCAGACAACAGAGTTCACTTAGACTTCTCCAGAGCCATGGCCATTGCTGCTGGGTCTCCGCAGCAGTATAGACATTCATTCCATTTCAAATATCTACACTATTTCCTGACTTCAGCAATCCAGATGCTGAGGAAAGAGATTATCTCGAGGAAAGACCCTCTATGTTACGAGGTGCACCATGAGCTGAAGGGCGTTTACTTGCAAGCCCCCGTGGGTGCCATCGTTCGCTTTGGCCAGTTTCTCTCCACCTCCCCAGCAAGAGAACAGGCACAGAGATTTGAGAACCAAACTCTATTTACCATGTTGACCTGCCTGGGGGCACCACTACAAGACTTGTCTCTCAAGAAGGTCTTGGTCCCTCCCTATGAGCTGTTTAAAGTTGTCAATGCGAGCTACCATCCAAGAGGAAATTGGTTGCAATTGCTGTCAAATGGGACCCAAAGCATGTACAACTGTCAGCTGCTAAAAGGTATTGTTATTGATCCAAATTCAATTCACTGTAACCAAGATCAGGATTTCCCTAGTGGCTCAGTTGGTAAGGAGACCACCTGCAGTGCGGGAGACCCAGATTGGGAAGATCCCCTGGAGAGGGGCATGGCAACCCACTCCAGTATTCTTGCCTGAGAAAGCCCCATGGACAGAGGAGCCTGGCGGGCTACAATCCATTAGGTTACAAAGAGTTGAACAGGACTGAGCGACTAAACCACATACATTACTAGATCACAGGCCACTATTTTTATTTTAAATCTTGTGAAAAAAGTAATTTTAATTTTTTTTCTTTTTTAAAAAATTTTTATTGGAGTATGGTTGATTTATAATGTTGTGTTAGTTTCAGATGTACAGTAGAGTGAATCTGTTATACATACACATATATCTACTCTTTTTCAGATTCTTTTCCCATAAAGGTTATTACAGAGTACTAAGTAGAGTTCCCTGTGCTGAACAATAGGTCCTTATTAGTTATCATTTTGTATATAGCAATGTGTATGTGGGGGCTTCCCTAGTAGCTCAGTTGGTAAAGAATCCACCTGCAATATGAGAGACCTGGGTTCGATCCCTGGGTTGGAAAGATCCCCTGGAGGAGGGCATGGCAACCCACTCCAATATTCTTGCCTGGAGAATCCTTGTGGACAGAAAAGCCTGGCGGGCTACAGTCTGTAGGGTCACTAAAAGTTGGACATGACTGATTTGACTCACACATACATACACACACACACACTGTATATATGTCGATCCCAATCTTCCAATTTATCTCTTCCCCCCATCTCCCCCCTGGTAAACATAAATTTGTTTTCTGTATCACTATTCTTTTATAAAAGTTATTTTTTTAAGTGGGCTTATGGGGGAAAGGCCAAAAATATGTATATTGGCTTTCAGTAAGGATGAGACAAAAAGTCATTTCAAACAGAAAAAACATATACTGAATTTCAGGGATTTCAAGCAATTTGGTATCTTCAGGTAAATATCAAAATTCTGGACAACCAGAGTGTAAGATGTAGGAGGAAGCCAGGAGTAGAAAGGGAGTAGGAAGTGGATTTGGGCTAGAGAGATCTGACGGGGCCAGTTTGTAAAAACTCTTGTATTTCATGCCAAGGATTTTCAAACTTCATGCTGTAAGCAGTGAGAAATCATTAGAGTCTGTAAGAAGTGGAGTATCAGTCAGATCAGTATTTTAGCAAGAGCCCTTATGCTGGGAAAGATTGAAGGTAGAAGGAGAAGAGCGAGACAGAGGATGAGGTGGTTGGATGGCATCACCGACCCAATGGACATGAACTTGGGGGATGGCATCACCGACCCAATGGACATGAACTTGGGCAAACTCCGGGAGATGGAGAGGGACAGGGAGGCCTGGTGTGCTGCAGTCGACGGGATCGCAAGGAGTCTGACACAACCTGGCAACTAAATAACAGAACAACTGATGATACCATGAAAAATGAACTGAAGTAGGAGAAATTGGCTTTCACAATATAAATATGTGTTAAGCTCTTTTATAGAAACACATGTGACTGATTCCTTTTTATCCTTGTATGTTGCCAGCCGCAGTCATTTGATGGAGCAAACGCAGTGAAAATTATATAGCAAAGGCTGTGCCCTGTTTGATTCAGAAAGAGGGAAGCCATCCTGATCCACATGTGTGTTCGTTTACAAAGTCAACCGTAACTCTGCTAAGTGTCTACCTTTGAAATATCCCCCACTCTTCCTCTACTCCATCATCGTGGCTACTATGAATAATTCAGCCCATCAGCATTTCTCAACATGTTAAGGCTGCAGCATTGCCACGGTCTTCAAACTGGTATCCCCACCGAGGTCAAGATCCTGCTCACTCTGGCCTATCTGTAAACACAGACCAAGGGAAAAGTGCTCTACTAGGACTTTCATCCACACCCTTCTCTCCTTGGCAGCAGGGAAGATAGCAATAATGAATGGCATGTGTTTCTGCTCCACAGACCCAAGAGATTAATGTTTATAGAGACTAGGGTAAAATGTGAATAAAATAGTGAGCTTTTGATAATACGTAAGAATATCCATAGCCAGGTTCCAGGATTCTCTGGAATTGCATCCCTGGAATACTGTGGCTTTGTTCTCATCATTTGAGATAGGTAGCTTTGCTAATGGGCCTCCCTGGTAGCTCCACTGGTAAAGAATCAGCCTGCACTGCAGGAGACATGGGTTGGATCCCTGGATTGGAGAGATCCCCTGGAGGAGTGCATGGCAGCCCGCTCCAGTACCCTTGCCTGGAGAATCGCATGGAGAGAGGAGCCTGGTGGGCTCCAGTCCATGGGGTCACAGAGAGTCAAACGTGACTAAGGGACTCCGCAGTTTTGCTACTATCCACCTATCTCTATCGGTTATACAAAAAAAAAAAAAGAAAGACTTCAGAATATTTTCAGCTATTCACTGCAGTGTTTTTGATTTTGTTCTTGTTTCTTGAGGTTTTTATTCCTTAGTGGGAAAGCTCTCTCTGAAATCTTTCCTGTGCTGTGTGTTCAGTCACACAGTCATGTCCGACTCTTTACAGTCCCATGGACTATAGCCTGCCAGGCTTCTCCACCCGTGAAATTCTTCAGGCAAGAATACTGGAGTGAGTTGCCTTTGCTTCTCCAGGGGACCTTCCCAACTTAGGGACTGAACCCGTGTCCCTTGTCCTGCATTGGCAGGTGGCTCTTTACCACTAGCACCACCTGGGAAGACCAAAATTTCTTGTTGTTCTTTGTTCAGTCCCTAAGCCGTGTCCGACTCTTTGCAACCCCAAGGACTGCAGCACACCAGGCTTCCCTGTCCTTCACTATCTCCAGGAGTTTGCTCAAACGCATGTCCATTGAGTTGGTGATGTCATCCAACCATCTCATCCTCTGTCACCCCCTTCTCCTCCTGCCTTTAATCTTTCCCAGCATCAGGGTCTTTTCCAATGAGTTGGCCTTTTACATCAGGTGGCCAAAGTATTGGAACTTCAGTGAATATTCAGGGTTGATTTCCTTTAGGATTGACTGGTTTGATCTCTTTGCTTCCCAAGGGACTCTAAACAGTCTTCTCCAGCACCACAATGTGAAAGCATCGATTCTTGGGTGTTCAGCCTAGCCATTCCCTTCTCTAGGGGATCTTCCCAACTCGATGATCAAACTCAGATCTGTGTTGCAGGCAGATTCTTTACCATCTCAGCCACTAGGGAAGTACTCAAATTTCTGAAGTCATTTCTTTTAACTGATAAGTGACACTCTGCTTATCCCAACATCCTGGAGCAGTATTAGATTGATGCAAACATGAACGTGGGAGGAGGGAGATGGTGTGTTTTTCTTATCTGGGAGTCCTTCACTGGGAAGAGGGAGGAAGGTCAATGGACTCTAAAACCCTGTTTTTCTAGATGGCTGGTGGTGTCCACATCACTACTCCTGGCCAATCACCTGGATAATCACTAACCTCAGCCTGGAGAATTCACAGTATCTAATTCCTTGTGAAACTGGAATCCTCTCAGGAGATTGTTTTCTATTCTTTCAATTTTTTCACCAGCAGAAATCCACAAACTAGTCTATATATTATTTTTATTTATTTATTTTTTTGGCTGTGCCCTGTGGCATGTGGGATCCTAGTCCCCCACGAGGGATCAAACCCAGATCCCCTGTGCTGGAAGCTCAGAGTCTTAACCACTGGACCACCAGGGAAGTCCCATTATTTTATATGCTAAAAAGTCCCTTCGAGCTAGTGACTTACGTTTCTTTTCCAGTTCCCTCTTAATCTGCCAGATGCAATATGCGAAAAACAACATGAAGGCTTTTAAAATGGGTCAGCCTGGGACACTGCGTTTCTCCCAATGACGAGACAGCAGATTAAAGAGCAGAGCTTCCTCAGTCCTTCAATGTATTTCAAAATTGCTTCCATTAACCTGTAACTGAAGAGCTCAGGGTCAAAGAGTTCCCAAGAATCTGTCGCCTTCAGAGTCATGAGGTCAAATTGGTAGCATACTACACTGAAGGAAGTAAATTTGCAAAAGAAAAATTGTTAAAAGACAAGCTAAATGAACAGCTTTTCTTCTGATTCTTCTCCCACCCCTCATGTGACCTATACTTATTACCATAGAAACAGATGTTTTCATGCCCATTGGAAGACCCAAAATACGTTATGTTAGGTATTTGTCCTTAAATGTTGCTTCTTTCAGCAAAACAATTGGTGCCAAAAATCTGTAGACACACAAATACATGCTCTGTTCTGTATCATTGGGTTCACAAAGAAGTGTGGTTTGTTAAAATCTTTCACATAATTAAAATTCTTAAGTACACTTCCAGAAAAAATATAGTCAATTGTTTGCAGTCAGCGTGGGTTTACATGTTAATCTTGCCAGTTACTAGCAGTGAGAATACAAGCAAATGGCTTATTCTCTCTGTGCCTCATTTCCTTCATATGTAAGACAGGAATAATTAAAAAAAAATAAAACCGACCTTATAAGATCTTGGTGAACAGAAAATGAATTAATGCATGCAAAAGCTCTTAGAACCATAAGTTACTATTACCATTACCATGGCTTCCCTGATAGCTCAGTTGATAAAGAATCTGCCTGCAACACAGGAGACCCTGGTTCAATTCCTGGGTCGGGAAGATCCACTGGAGAGGGATAGGCTACCCACCCCAGTATTCTTGGGCTTCCATTGTGGCTCAGCAGGTAAAGAATATGCTGCAATGTGGCAGATCTGAGTTTGATCCCTGGGTTGGGAAGATCCCCTAGAGAAGAAAAAGGCTACCCACTCCAGTATTCTGGCCTGGAGTCATACGACTGAGCGACTTTCATCTTTATTTTATTAACTTACTGCTTCCTATTTTCTTTTACTCTGGGCTTCAATTATCCTAAAGTAGTTCACACAATTTGTGACACCATACTTTTCTTGAAGTACAGTGTCCATCTGAAATGAATGGATGGAAGAATAAGTAATAGAATGAATCTGGGAGATGGACCACAAAGCATGATGGGAAGAACAGATGATGGAGGCAGTGAGAGCTGGGCATTGGTTAATAGCTGTATGCCTGGGTGCTACATCACCTCAGTAGTCTCTGACTCCTTGCAACCCTATAGACTGCAGACCACCAGGCTCCTCTGTCCTTGGAGTTCTCCAGGCAAGAATACTGCAGTGAGTTGCCATGCCTTCCTCCAGGGGCTCTTCCCGACCCAGGGATGTTAAAAACTCATTTTACAGATGAGAAAACTGAGTCCCAGTGAAAGTAACAAAAATGATCAAAGTCAAGCATCTAAGGGTAAAGCTTCAATACCAAATCTTTGTTGTTGTTTTTCAGTTGCCCAGGTGGGTCAGACTCTTTGCAACCCCATGGACAGCAGCATGCCAGGCCTCCCTGTCCCTCACCATCTACCAGAGTTTGCCCAAGTTCATGTTCATTGCATTGATGATGCCGTCCAGCCGTCTTATTCTCTGACACCCTCTTTTCCTTCTGCCCTTGATCTTTCCCAGCATCAGGGACTTTTCCAATGAGTCATCAGTCATCTGTTCTCATCAGATGACCAAATACTGGAGCTTCAGCTTCAGCATTAGTCCTTCCAGTGAATATTCGGGGTTCATCTCCCTTAAGATTGACTGGTTTGATCTCCTTGCTCTCCAAGGGACTTTCAGGAGTCTTCTCTGGCACCGCAGTTTGAAAGTATCAATTCTTTGGCATTCTGCCTTCTTTATGGTCCAGCTCTCACAACAGTACGTGATCACTGGGAAGACCATAGATAGCCTTGACTCTACAGACCTTTGTCAGCAGAGTAATGTCTCTCCTTTTCAACACACTAAGTTTTTCATCGCTTTCCTGCCAAGAAGCAATCATTTCCTGATTTCATGGCTGCAGTCACCATCCACAGTGATTTTGGAGCTCAAAAAGAAGAAATCTGTCACTACTTCCACTTTTTCCTTTTCTATTTGCCATGCAGTAGGGGGGCCAGATGCCATGATCTTAGATTTTTTTAACATTTAGTGTTAAGCTGGCTCTTTCACTCTCCGCCTTCACCCTCATCAAGAGGCTCTTTGATTACCAAAGCTAATCACCCCCAAATCATGATCTTTCACTGTTACATTGTTTTCTTGTCAATCAATATTTTCTGACAACTCATCAGTAGAATCTTACTCCATGAAAAAATAAGAAAGGTGATAAAGGCTGGAGTTAGAGGTCCTTGTGATCTCTAGTCTCAATGAAGAGAAAACAAAACAGAAAACACGTAAGAATCATTCTAATGAGTGACCTGCTAAAGTGATATTACTGGCTCCTAGTCCCTTTGAGAATCCAGATAGTACAATTTTAACATAAACTTTGACAAAAGCTTAGAAATATGCTTGCATTCTTAATTTGTTTGTCTATGAAAATTAGGGTTTTGAAATTTACTGTAAGTATATGTAGAATTCCAAATAGAAATCCCTAGAAACTCTAGGGATCTTATATGTTACACGAAAGTGGTGGAAAAATATTTCTCCATTATCTGGTCATCCTATCAAGCAATATGGTCAAATACTGAGGCAATCACAGAGTTGAATGGCTTTCTATCTCAATGTCTTTTCTACACTAATAATCAGTGAAGTCTGGTTGAAAAGGAGATTCCATTCTTTATTTAGAGCATATTTTAAAGGTTTCCCTCCTCCATCTCATCCAATATTCTCATCCCATTGTATTCCCAATTAGTATAATAAGTATCGCTTTCATCAGCCACACCTTACTGTCTGCTAACCTTTCTCGTGAAGTGTGTGTCCATGTAGGCAGTATACACACACAGACACACACACACACACATACCTCAAGCAGGATTGTATGAATACTTTTTGCTCACCTTATAATTTAAAAAAAAATGACTGGACATGCAATATATGTAGAGACCATACAGTGGTTAAAAATACAGAGTTGAGAGTCTGCCTTGCAGTGCAAAGGATAACAGCTTGACCCCTGGTCCGGGAAGACCCCACAGGCAGCCAGCAACTAAGCCCATGTACTACTACTGAAGCACCTGTGTTTTGAGCCGGCGCTCCACAAGAGAAGACACTGCAATGAGAAGTTTGACCACCACAGTGAAGAATAGCTCCTGCTTGCTGCAGTCAGAGAAAGCTCGCATGCAGCAACAAAGACCCAGCACAGCCATAAATAACTACATAAATAAAAGTTTTTAAATACATATGGCTCAAACCTGACCACCTAAATTTGATGGCTGCCTCCACTGCATACTAGATGCATGGCATGTGACAAGTTTCTTCACATCTCTGTCACAGCTTTATCAGATAAAAAATGAAGACAATGAGGATAAATACCTCATAGTTTTGTTGTGTGGATTAAATGAGTTAATTTGTAGCAAGTGCTTAAAAAGATCCCAGAACAGAATAAGCCTTTAAACAATGTTAGCTTTCATAATGGTGATGAAAATGAGGATAATGGTGATGGCAATAATTCTGCTGCTGATGATAATAAAGACGTACAATTGGGAGAGCTCTACCATCAACTGTTATCATCAACCCTGAGGTATACCTTTTATCCTCTTGGGACCTAATTTATCGTCTACACAATAAGTGGCCTGTGTTGTCATTGAGAAAAATCTAAGAGAGAATACATCTTTTTAAAAGTAGCTAGTTTCAGTCCTTCCCTGGTGGTCCAATGGTTACAGCACTGCTCTTCCAGTGCAGGGGGTGCAGGTTTGACCCTTCGTTGGGGAGCTAAGATCCTGCTTGCCACATGATGGGGCCAGGAAAAAAAAAAAAAGTCATCTTATTAAAAAAGACTACACACCTTTAAAAAGCAGTAGTTTCAAATATTTTTTGTTACAAATTTTCTAAGTTTAAGACATGAACCAAAGGAGAAATGAAGTAGATAGTAGATTTTTTAGGGGGAAAAAAACTCTTGTTACCTAAAACTTCAATAATTCTTTTTGTTTGTTTTCACAGCTTCCAGCAGAAAGTGCATCCCTACTCCTCTAGTTATTGCTTCTCTCTCCTTTTTGACCAGTGTCATCATCTCTTCCAAAAGTGGAGCATAAAGGAAGCCTGCGGTTTTGCCTCTCCTGTACCCTTTTGCTTTATTCCAGTCAGGGCACCCTGAATACCCATAGAGAATCAATCTGCCGAGCTATCAGCTGATGTAGAACTGGCTCCGTCCATTGCCTATGGGTAGGCCTGTAAGTATATTTCTTCTCCATGGATACAAGGAGTCACGTTGGATAGAAAATGACTCATTAGGATCCTGTGAGATACAATCAGTGTACTTTATTGGAATTAGGGCTGGAAGTGAGGTTGGGGCCTTTTTTATTTCAGCGGAGATTAGTGAAAGCAGAATATGAAGCTAGAGCCCCTAGCAGCTCTCTTGCCACCAAAAAGAGAGACTCTACCTCCCTAGCTAACACAATGAAAGAGGAGTGGTGAAATGAAAAGAAAGTGCATCCTGATGACAAGCTATGTGCACCTAGATCCAACTGTCTGAAACTGGATACCCTGAGCTTTTTCATCACATAAATCAATAAATTATATTTCTGCCTTAATAATTTGAATCAAGTGTTGTCTCAGTTGAAGGAATTTTATGATGAATACATATTTTTTATTTAGCAATCCTAAATATTAGGAACACATCAGAAATACGTGAGCTCCTCTCTCCATGGAATTCTTCAGGTAAGGATACTAGAGTGGGTTGCCGTTCTCTTCTCCAGGGGATCTTGCCAACCCAGGGATCAAACCCAGGTCTTCTGCATTGCAGGCAGATTCTTTACTGTTTGAGCCACCAGGAGAGCCCAAATACTAGGAACACATCAGAGATATCTGAGTTAGCAAAGGACAAATTCTTCATCAAAGAATTTGATGAGCCCCAAGGAGATACTAAATGTGTGAATTTTCTTTAAAGAATTTTTTCGCCTGCTCTCAAAAAATTTTATTATTTTTTAGAGAATTTTACCAGCATTCAAGACCAAGCTAGTGTAGTCTTGTTATCAACCAGGGTTCTTGGCCATTCCCAATTAACAGAAATTGCCTAGAGACCAGACCAGAAATTCAGGAATGGCTTTACTGTGCTTCCCTGGCGGCTCAGATGGTAAAGTGTCTGCCTGCAATGCAGCAGACCTGGGTTTGATCCCTGGGTCACGAAGATCCCCTGGAGAAGGAAATGGCAATCCACCGCAGGACTCTTGCCTGGAAAATTCCAAGGACGGAGGAGCCTGGTGGGCTACAGTCCCTGGGGTCCCAAAGAGTCGGACACGACTTCACTTTCACTTTCACTTTATTGGGACCCCTGCTGTAGCAGGAGGAAGCTGGGAGCAAACAACAGGCTCTCTTGCTTGCTTGCTCCATGAGAGAGCGGAAGGGTAAGCCTGTTTCTCGTGTGGGGTGAGAGTAGGGGTGTGTCCACCGGTCAGGCCAGAGGGCTGGCTTAGGTGTTCTGCCCACTCCTTAGGTGATGTTGTGTGCAGGGGGCTTGTGCAGTACCCTGTTTTTGCTCAGGGCTCTTCAGATGTGGCAATTGGGTTTTTGGTCTCTTTGTACCTTTGGGTCCAGAATTTATACCACCTACACATGACAGTTATTTGTAGTCCCATACAGTTTCTTTGCATTTTGTTGCTCGAAGAGAGTTGTGTCCAAGTCTAAGTACTGCAGGACTGTAGCAAAGGATCCCAGGTCCCAGCCTGTCTCAGTCTGATGGGAGAAAACACAGAAACCCAAGAAATAAAAGGGAAGGTTAATGAAAGATGTCAGTGGAATCTTACTCACTGCCTGTAATGGGGTGTTGCACACACATTTCTTCTAAACTGTTAAAAAGTTAGAATTTAAATTCATATGTTAATTTACTGAGGACTTTATGGCAAATTGGATTTTAAGCCTTCATTGCAAATTTAAGCACATTTGCTAAGAATGCAAGTATATGTGTGTGAAGATAGAGTAGTAAAACATCTAATTACCCAGCAAATATCAAAGATATATTGAATCCCCATTATGTGCAAACAATTAGGTTTTTAAAAAGTGCAAATCAAACTTCCCAGCTAAGAATATTCTCCGACTCTTCTTTCAGGGAGTAGGCAAGATAAGCGGGTTGATGGGGAATCACTAGGTCTCTAAAGACCCTACTAATTGAGCTAAATGGGGTGAAGATAAAAGCTAGTTCCATACCCATGAATTCTGCAAGTCCAGGCTGCTTAGTTCCTCTGAGATATAGATGAAAAGCAAGCATTTATTTTTTTGAAAGAGAAAATGGGATTTAAGATTTTTAAACAAGAAAATATTTAAATGAGGAAAGATCTGGTATTCTCAGGAAGTAAAATTCCAAAAGAGAACTAGTTAACTGCTTTTAAAATAAACAGTAAATTCCATACTTCTTAAAAAGAAAAAAAAATATTAGCACCCTTAATTGCCTTTCTTGTGCTTCACAAAGTTCCTATTAGATATAAAGGGAAATAGGGCAATCTTGAGAGCATACACTTATTTGCAATTCATGAGAACCCAAGACTTTATGGCAGGCAAATGGATTGGTCTTCTTCCCCCCAGTTCAACCAAGCACATCTCAGAAATCTTACTTCTGTTTCGGTCAAGTAACAAGTGTTAGGTCTTTGTGTGTACGTGTTAGTCTGTGTGTCTGTGCATGTCTGTATGTCTGTGTAAAATGTTAGAGTACTTTCATTTTTCAACCTCTAATATCTCCTCATCATAAGACCTCAGCAGGAAACAAAGACTGACTCATCTGCTTTGGTCTTATTCACACAGGCAAGAAAATTCTATTACTCCTCATTCACTATTCTTTTTTACTTCTGGATGAATCATATCGAAGGTATTTAGTGATGGCATATGATAAGCAAGCCACTGAAGTGTACCGAAATTGGTATATGGGTGACAAAAATAGAGAAGTTGTTTCCTAGCATCTGAACAACATTATTTATTGATAATATATATATTTACCTAAACCTTGCACTGTAGAAACTAGAAATAGAATTACTAAGAGTAGAAATTAATTGGAGGTTATTTCAATTATGCTTTAAGATGAAATACAATGTTTAGAAATATCCTCAAATATAATATCATACTTGAATTTTTTTGAACAATATATTCGTTTCAGGAACCACCATTTTAAGCAGGATTTCTTTGGTTATTTATTTTTATTTGAATAAAGCAAAACTTGAGGTACATGGTTTGCCAGGTGACTTCTCTTTGAATTCATGTCCCAGTAGACCACATGTTGGGCACTGAGGGTCTTAGAGAGTACTATGAAAACTTGCATAGTTTGAATTGGTTTTCTGACCAGCATGAACACTTCTGTTGCACTCCTACTAGTTCCTGGGTTTCTTAAACACAGAAAGCTTGGTTTCCATAGTTTTTATGGCTTTTTGGAGGACCTCTAAGATTGGTCCCATAGTTTTGACAATTTGTTCCATTTGATCTGCAGCTGACTTAATGGTATACTTAACATTCTCAATGTTGAGTGCATCCTGCAACTTTTTCAAGGCATCTATTGTAGTGGCTTTGGATGGACCTGGACTTTTCTCAGATGTGGTGGCATCTGATTGTCCTTTCCTATAGAAGTCACTTAATTGGAGATTCATGATGGGATATTTCATCAAGAGTAAAAGAGAAGATTCCAAACTCTCAAGAATGTTACCACTATTCAGCACAGAGGCAATGATAGGTGACTGGGCATTTTTGAACATTTCTTTGGTTGACTGTTGCAACTCCCTTATATTGTTACTCTTCTCAACCACAGAGGACATAGCTGTTGCAATCTTGGAACTTAAAGGTTCACTTTGCATTGGGTCCTGCTTGGCCGCCACCACAGAGTGCATCTCCTTAAAAATTTTGAGCATTTGTTCAAAGACAGCCTTCACATTACCATCTTCCTCCACAGTCATCAAGAGGATCTGAGTGCTCATAGTGCTGTTGAACAATTCGATGAGTGCATTTGTGAAGGAAGCAAGATCTTGCATGTAAAAGAAGAATGTTTTGGCAGCTTGAACGAGCCTCTCTTTATCCTTTTCTGACTCTGAAGACATTTCTCCAGCAGAAAGGTTTCAGCACTGTAAAACAAGTAGGAATCCAAATGAAAACTAAATGCATGTTTCAACCATAAATAGACTGAAAGTATAATCTAAACATGATGATAACTCCTGTCAAAGGTTGGAAGGCTATACAAGCATAAATGATCTTGTGCTTTAATAAAAATAGTAACAAAAATAATTAAAGCAGAGTAGAAGAGGGATTTTCGTAAACTTTAAATCACATGTTAAATATTGCATGCTAGATCCCATATTGGATATGTTGACCTATGGATACTCAGGCATTACCCTCAGTAACCATCCAGTCTAGTGGAAACGACTGGATAAAACATGAAAGATTACGTAGAGGGACTCTGGTTCCAGTTAAAACAGAGCAAGTACTCTCCATCCACCAGAGAAGGGCATGGCAACCCACTCTAATATTCTTGCCTGGAGAATCCCATGGACAGAGGAGCATGGGGGGCTACAGTCCATGGGGTCACAAAGAGTCAGATACAACTAAATGACTAATACTCACTCACACTCAATCCAGTCTTTCCTACTAATTACAGCTAAAAATCCTGAACAGAATATCTCAAGTAACTATTAAACAACTCTGAAAGGTAGACAGCAGCAGACAGAGGAGGTAGGGATGGCAGTATTCCAAAGAAGATCAAGGTTATCTAGTCCAAACTCCCAAAATGTCTATCTTGTCTAAAAATGTCCTTTCATCACAACTTGTCCTCTTCTGCAATAGAGAGGAATATTACTGTCTATAACCAATGTTCACAGTCCTCTTTTGATATTTTCTCTAGAATTATGTTCTATCAACCACCCCCTCTTCCTTTTGTGCTATGAACTGAACTGTGCTATGAATGCCCCCTTCTGAAATCCAGTAGGTTGACACTCTAATTTCCAGTATGATTTATTTGGAGACAGGTCCTATTAGGAGGTAATTAAGGTTAAGGCCCTGATACAACAGGATTAGTATCCTTTTAAGAGAGACCAGCGAGCACCCTCCCTCACTCTCCCCGCCTTGTGAGACTGCAGCAAGAAGGTGACTGACTGCAAATCAGGAAGAGAGCCCTCACCAAAAACTGAATGGGCCCGTGATTTGATTTGAGATTTCTCAACCTCCAGAGCTATAAGAAAATAATTCCTGTTGATTAAGCTGCAAGGCTGTGGCATTTTGTTATGGTAGCCCAAGTTGACTAATACATCTTGTATCCTCCATCACTCCCTCTTCATTTGTCCTTCTCCTTTGACTACATTTTCCTATTCAGTTGGTTAAGATTCTGGTTAAGATTCTACCACTGTGGCCTGGGTTCAATCCCTGGTCACAGAACTGAGATCCCACAAGCCAAGCATTGTAGCCAAAAACTGCCCTACTCAGTTTATATTTTATTTTCTATTTTGATCATGCTGCATGGCATGCAGGATCTTAGTTCCTGCAGGGAACTCCAGGGATCAAACCCGTACCCCCTGCAGTGGAATCATGGAGACCTAATCACTGGACAACCAGGAAATTCCCCCCTACTTAGTTTAAAAAAGAAAAATGTTTGACACCAATTTCCCTTTAAGTAATGATCCCATCTCACTCCTTCCTTTAACTCTCAAATTTCCCAACAGAGAAATTCTTCACTTTATTGTAATTTATTTCTAGCCTTCCCTGGTGGCTAGTGGTTAAAAAAAAAATCCACCTGCCAATGCAGAAGATGTGGGTTCCATCCCTGGTCTGGGAAGATTCTCTGTTGGAGGAAAAAGCAACCCACTCCAGCATTTCTCAGTACTCTTGCCTGGGAAATCCCATGGACAGAGTTACCTGGGAGGTTACACTCCCTGGGGTCACAAAGAGTCTGACATGACTTAGTGACTGAACAACAACAATAATTTATTTACATCCCTCATTATTTTCTTACAGGGCATCAATAACTTCTAATCGTAAAATTTCTTGGCCTATTTACAGCTCAGATGGTAAAGAATCTGCCTGCAATGCAGGAGACCTGGGTTCAACCCCTGGGTCAGAAAGATACCCTGGAGAAGGAACTGGCAACCCACTCCAGTATTCTTACCCACTCCAGTATTCCATGGCCAGAGGAGCCTGGTGGGCTATAGTCCGTGGGGTCGCAAAGAGCTGACATGACTAAGTGACTAACACACACAAATATCTTGAATTCGCTGCCTTATTTAAAATTGCTGAATACCTCTTCCAACTTCAAATTTTTCTCCTCCAGAGGCCTCCACGATGCTATGCAAATCTGGTCCTTCTACATCCTCTCCAAGAATTTGCTCATTTTGTAGGCTTTTCTTCCTTATGCCAGCAAGTTCTTTCCAGTCTCCTAAGCTCAGGAAGGCTGTGTCTTTGGCCCTCCTCATATTCTATACTTCCTCCCTTCAAGACCTCACTGGGGGACTTCCCTCATGGTTCAGTGGTAAAGAATCTGCCTGCCAGTGTAGGGAACACAAGTTTGATCCCTGATCTGGTGATGCGGCAGAGCAGCGAAGTCCAAGTGCCAAAACTACTGAGCCCGTGTTCTCGAGCCCAGGAGCCACAACAGGAGAAGTCGCTGCAATGAGAAGTCTGTGTACTGCAACTGGAGAGTAGCCCCTACTCACTGCAACTAGAGAAAGTCCGTGCACAGCAACAAAGATCCAGTGAAGCCTAAATATTAATAAATAAAGGCTAAATTATTTTTTAAAAAAGATCTCACCTATCCCCATTAATTATAAATGTCATCTGTGTGCAGATGACTCCTAAATCTCCCAGTGTAGCCTCAGAAATTCTCCTGATCTCTAGATCTACATTTCCAACTACCTACTGGTCATCATATGGTAACTGTACCAGTATATGTCACACAATTATCCCAAACTGCACTCATCTCCTCCAAAAACATTCTCCTCTTAAGCCTTGCCTCANAGATGCCATGATCTTAGTTTTCTGAATGTTGAGCTTTAAGCCAACTTTTTCACTCTCCTCTTTCACTTTCATCAAGAGGCTCTTTAGTTCTTCACTTTCTGCCATAAGGGAGGTGTAATCTGTATATCTGAGATGCATTTTTGCATCTTGCCTCATTGTTGAGGCTCAAAATCTATCTTCCTTTTCTCTTCACCAAACTGAATCAGTCCCTAAAACTTGTTAACCCTCTTTGAACTTATTTCAATCCATCCCCTCCCTTCCATTCCCATAACTACTATTCCGGTGAGCTCTCATCTAGACAATTTTAGTGGTCTCACATTTGATCTCAATATTTTTGTCAAAGGGTCACAAACTGACAATTCACAGGAAAAAAATCTAACCAGATATGCTTTGTTTGACCTACCACAATTCGTTATCAGTTGCAAATTTTAAATTGAAACACAGAAATCGAGATTTCTATTGATTATTGAAAAAATGAAATGAACTGGTAGTAGTAAGTCCTTTTTCTGGATGGAGAAATTTCCTGGAACTGAGGTTGTCCCCTTCAGACTAGACATTCACCCTCTACACCCTATTGTCTTGGTGATTTAGTCGCTAAGTCATGTCTGACTCTGGCAACCCGTGGACTATAACCTGCCAGATTCCTCTGTCCATGAAGTAGGTTGTCATTTCCTTCTCCAGGGGATCTTCCCAACCCAGGAACTGAACCCAGGTCTCCTGCACAGCAGACAGATTCCTTACCATCTAAGCCATCAAGGAAGCCCCTATACACAAAATAGAGACTGTCCAACTCTAAAGTCCATGGTGTTTCCACTAAGTTATTGAGGTTGAGTGATTTTACCTGCTTCTGATGTATCTCTGATGTAGAGGAATCAGTAGAGATTAGGACAGAATCTAGAGGAAGAAGCGTGGGAGATGCTGGTCTAAGCTTTAAGGGAAAGGAGTCAAGATGATTACCAAGATAACACGGAAGACAGTAATAAAGAGCAGAACTTCCAGCCAGGAAAGAAGAGCACACACACACACACACATACACANCCTGTCCTTCACTGTCTCCCGGAGTTTGCTCAAACTCATGTCCACTGAGTCAATGATGCCATCCAACTATCTCATCCTTTGTGTTGTCCCCTTCTCCTCCTGCCTTCAATCTTTCCCAGCATCAGGGTCTTTTCCAATGAGTCAGTTCTTCATATCAGATGGCCAAAGCACTGGAGTTTTGGCTTCAGCATCAGTCCTTCCAATGAATATTCAGGACTGATTTCTTTTAGGATGGACTGGTTGGATCTCCCTGCAGTCCAATATTACTTAATACGTACCAATTTTATATTAATATAGAAGATAAAAGAATTCTGAGAACTAAACCATGTACAAACAGTCAATAAACCAGACAGGCAGAGGGACCCAGCAGAGACTAACAAAGCCTGTTAAGTCATCACATTCCATTAGAAACATCCAGATGAAACCAGATGAAAAAGCACAGCAACTACTCCTAAACAACTGCTGGGACCACTGGACTCAGAAACAAGGTAAGCAATATGGGTATTTCTGTTAGTATTGATATAATACTCTGCTTCTCCATATTAAAAGGCATCTGCAGTAATATGCTAGACTTGAATCCTAACTATAAATATAATAAAGCAACAAAACAACTTTAAGTGGATCCCATGACATGTTCCTGGTGAACATTTATGTCTCTGAAGATACCAAGAAAGAAGAAAATTAACAGCTTATATAATTAAGTCAGCAGGGAAGATAAAGTAGTAAAGACATCACTTTTAGAAAAGAACAAGGATGAAAGGACACCTGTGTATGAAAGTGTGCTATTTATATAGATTGTAACATCTTTATGTCTTTAACATTCATTTATGATTCAGTACCTTTAGAAGAATGAGTGATCTAATTCTAGTTAATGTCTAGTGTTTATGCTCCTTCATTAAGTTCTATTACATTTAAATACCACTGGGCATTTGCTGTGTGTCTTCAGATAGACTGCTATCTTCTTGAGGGCAAGGAACTTTGTTTACTCAAGGCATATGGCAGAGGTTCCCAAGTGAACATCTGATAAATGCTGGTAAATGACCTCAATATTCTCCTTTCTGGCCAGAAATATTCTTTTAAACAATTT